AGAGTCTTGCCTAAAGTCAACCATTGAATTATGGTTGCAGCACCAAGACATCAACCAGAAAAGTTCTAGTTCATCCTTCTAGACTTTACAAAGTTCTCAAACTGTTACAATAAGAACATGAATGGGAGATCGATCATCAACACCTGATGGAACAAACTTTAAGCTTATCTAGCTTGAATGCATCATTCAAGACATTTTCTTACACTGTGAATTGACTGTCATGGGCAGAATGCATTCTCAGCTACTTAGCTGCACATTCACATGTTTGAAGCCCAAAGCAGCTTCTAACCAAGTGTAAAAACAGACGTAAAGTACATGTGTGTGTGCCCCTTATCACAAGAAGCAATGCACATTTCCACCTAATTATGACCATAAAAAGTATCAAGCGTGAAGTGGTCCTCTAACTTCATGCAACTCAAATGATTGTGTTCTTGCAATCACTTAACATTTATCTACTTGCAGTTATGTATTTCTTAGACAAACAATATTGTTTCTATTGACCCTGTGGATGAAAAGAAAGCGTTCCCAACTCTCTGTAGAATCTGTAGATCAAACCTAGGAAGTCTGTCTTCAAAACAGCGATGCAAGAAGAAGAGTCACTGGTGGAAGAGTAACGAGGACTTGTCATTTTTTATCTTTAGAAAGACACAGAGAAATATTCTTTCATTGGATATCTTTCTCAGTTACTTCACCACTGGGAACAGTGTAGACCAGCCACCTGATGTCCACCAAATGTTTTGGATTTGAACCCCCATTAGCTCCAGTCAACATGGCCAATAGTTATGAATTCTTGGAGTTGTAATCCATGTCATCTGGAAGGTCCAGAGTCCTCTGTGAGATTTTTCTCTCCTCTTCCTCTATCTGCCCCAAAGGGCTTATTGTTGCTTCAGAAGCCAACTCAAAATATACTCTCTCATCATCAACAGTAATGATGATATTATGAAGATGTGGATTGACTAATAGATAAGTGGCATCACATGCTCAAGATGCGACTAAGGCAAAAAAATCATGGCTGTACTTTAGTTATCACCACCAACTGCTTGTGGTATCACATAATTAATAATGGCAAGCATCTGAAAAATATGCCCTGTACAAACAGTCCAAAGTATTGGGTTTTTTTCATCATTTAGCAGGTTAAGTGGGTACACAGGTCATCTGGTCAGTCTTCCCGCAAAGGTAAGAAAAGGATCTGTCTACATTAAATCAAAATGAACACAAATAACCACACACACACACACAAAACCCAATCCACGAGCTTCTAGGTATAAATCTTCTAACTGAGCCTCCAAGCTGATGTGCAAGTTTTCCACACAGAGGGCATGTTTTTGCGCTATGGGCCATCCGGCTACGTCAGCCACCTCCATCTCCAGGCCCAAGTAATGCAGTGCTGCACAGGTCCATCATGTCAATGAAAGTGAGGTCAATTATTACCCAATTTGTCCGATTGAATCTGTTAATGTTTATTTTGTAGCTTAGCGGAAAGGAAAGCAGGAACAGAAAGAATGTTTCGGTTTACAAATAAAGAACCGTGATCACGACATATTCAATGCTCCTCGTATCTTAAAAGCGGAGCATTTAAACACATAACTACTGATATTCATTTATTTTGAAACATTCATTCCAGATTTTATTACAGGAGGATGTCCTTCTATATTTCACAAAAGTATCTTTTGAATATTTGTTATATAGGCTAATCATAACTAAACACCTTCCATTCTTGTTTACTTATACTTTCAGTCAAAAGCAAAATAGGACAGGGCAGTATTTATACAAATATTTAGATAGTGCTTTCTGACCTCACAAAGAGTCCATGGAGTGGCTTGGAAATATACGGCTTGGATCAAGAATTTGTGTCCACTGGTATGAGCATCCCAGCTATGACGGAGGAGGAGGAGGATGGATTTTGCAAATTCCTTCTTCGTAGCCTCCAAAATTGTGCCCCAGAATGTTGGAGGATGACACCTCAATCAGTGGGGAGGGGACTATGGGGGGAATTACTGGATCTGAAGTAATTACTGGATGCTTTCTATTTGCAGAAAGCTGAGTCGAGAATTAACCCATTACAAAAAATCAAGTTAAAAACAAAGCATCTCACTAAAAATTGCAGCAACCTAAGTTGTGGATCAGAAAACATCTAAAAAGCAACATTTTAAGTCTTTCTAAATTCAGAGAAGGAAAGAGCTAAAGGAAGGCTTGCTAGAAAGAGTTCCAGAGCCCAACTGGCATCACAGAGAAGACTGTCCTACATATTCGCCAAACATATCTCACTAGATGTTAGGCACAGGACATATCTTAACTGGGGGGCACTCACATGAGACTGGGGGGCTCTTCAGAGATCCTGTACTCAAAGGTAACAAGCAGGAGTTGGAATTGAGTACAGAAACTTGCCAGAAACCCAGCCACAACCCCTTTATTAAGCCTGATATGAAAAACACACGCCTCACTTGGGCGGGATAAAAATGAAATACATAATTCAGGGAACATTAATTAGATTTATTTGACCAGAAGTGCACTAATCCACTTTTTCATTTAATGAAGATAATAAGCTTCCCCTGTAGGAACGTAAGTTTTGCAAAGAGCAATCCTGCTGCAGCTTGTCAATGATTACTTTCGATATGGGATATGTGGCAACTTCACACTGCCTAGAGAAGGAACGTGGATGCAGTTAACAGAAGAAAGGAAAGAGCATTTCAAAATTTTATGTGCTAACGTACAGCATAAATTAAATGAATGAATTTGAAAGACTGTCAGCCCTCCCACTGAGTGCGAAAAGCATTTGGAACTTTTCCAGCCCCATCCTACTTCAGGGTTGCTAACCTTAAGTTTTGAACAAGTGTTGAATAGTTTTGGAAGAACAAGATAAAGACCTTCCAGTGTTCTGTTGTCACAAGGTGTTGAATAAGCATCACAAGTGGGTTGCCAGACAGTCAAGTGTTTGGAAATGGCAGTTTTTGACCTGCCTACATTGTTTGCGACTGTTTACAAATGTCCTGACGAACCATGGTTGAACTGACTGTGGTACCTATATCCCTCCAGGTGGGAATGCTGAAAAAATATATATGTATTTGTACAGAGTCAGTTATGAAGTTCTTTATAAATGATGATGGAGTCACAGCTGCTATCGTTACACTCTGGAAATAAAAGGGAGTGGGGATTCATGTACAAAAGAGCCAAGGAAAAGGCGTGCGCAAGCCCTGGTGCTCTTGTCAGTAGTACTGTGCCTGCCCTGCTCCCACGCAAATTCTGTGGTGATAATCCAGTGGCTGAAGTATTTACACAGATCATTTCCCAATACCTTCTGCTGCGCTTCCAGTGAGAACACACCTGTACAGCACAGGTTCTGAAAAGCAGAAGGGGCAAATGGAGAGGCAGTTTGCTACAGAGCTTGCAGGGCTGGAACTACTTACTGCATGGATGGGTAGCCCTCAGTGCGGAGGCACTACACTGGGAGCATGATCATAACACCAGTAAGAAGAAACTTGTTGCAGCCATGTGAAACCATGTAGGATAGGATAGTGCTAGGGTCTAGGATAGTGCTAAAGCAGCTTGCATGAATAAAAGCCAACGTGCACAAAACTGCTATCATGTGGTGGTCACAATTCAAACTTTTCCCTAAGATGCTGGCATCCACACAACAAGTCGTTCATATATGATGGATCACCATGCTGATCGGCAGGGGAGTGGCAAGAAGCATTTCCCCCTGCAAACCTTCCAGCTAGACGCTAGCTTTAATTTTCACCTTCAGAACCTAGGCTGTGCACGGACCCTATGCAAGCCACACTGTTCCGATGGCATTTCCCCCCAGCATCATATAAGACTATGACAATTCTTTTCTCTTTAACCGTAAATGTGTGCCTGTGGCGGAAAATTCCCTTTGAGCGTATTTCCACCTGTAGATACTGATTTCTCTGAGACCAAACAGTCCAAAGAGAGCTAACAAAGCACATCCAGAGTCAAGTGCATGGGTTCCAAAATGTTTGCCTGAACTGAATTGCATGAAAATAATGGAAGATAATGCCTAAAACAAGTCAAGTGTGCTAAGAGTACTAAGAGTGCGAAGCATTCTACTTTAGACAGATATGGTGATATTACTGGCTCGGCATCTTTTTCTAGTCATACCTGTTGCCGCAGCTTCAGGCGAGTCAGTTGTTCCCAGGCACTCCCTTCTACTTGCCTAGTTCAAGCAGACATTTTTGAACCAACACACCTGAGCCTGGATGTGCTTTGCTAGCTCTCTTTTGGACCGGCTGGTCTCAGAGAAATCAGGATCAGTAGGGGGGAATGTGCTCAAAGGACATTTTCAACCACAGACACACATGCCCTGGACTAATAGAAAAGAAAGAATGCACTACTTAACCTCAGAGGAACTTGCAAAAAGCCTGCACAGAACATGCTTGACCTCCGACATGGCCAGATCATAATAAAACCAGCACTTCATTTCATTGAAGACCTGCTTGGAGCTTTCTATGGCTGTATGACAGAAGCCACTTAGATTACATTTCTGAAAACAACATTTAGCTTTTGTATAGCACTTTTAGAAAGTTTAAAGTACTTTGTATATAATATGTCCTACAACAGCTCTATGAACTTGAATTCAGTGGTGGCGGGACCCTGAGACTCAGCACACAGTGGCTTGCCCAAGTCCCATGCCCAAGCTGTTGACTGACTGAGAATTAGAGATCACTCTTCAGAACTACCAATACAGCAAATTATTTTAAATGCAGTGGTTGCCCCCTCAAAATCACCAGGAAAAGCACAGTGAATATGCTTCTTGTGAAAGAAAGCAAAAAGACAGAAGGAACCTGGCAGAAGATAAAGCCTATTTGGGGCAATTTGAAACTGATTTAGCCTGGAAAGGAAAAAGTAAGTTTTCATATTTAAACAGTTCTTTGAGTCATACTGCTCTATCAATGCCAGAAAAATCTCCTTTTGATTTCTAGGGAGAGAAACCAGTCTCTTGCTCTCCTACCTTTACCAGTCCTCAAGGGAAGAATCTCCAGTTTTGTTGTTGCCGGCAAGATCTCATTGCTAGCAGTCTCTACCTCAGCACAAAGCAAATGACGACAGCTTTCATTCACAACCACCACCCTAAAGCTATATGCTTACCAAAAAGAAAAAAAGCCCAACCCATAAATAAAATGCTTCCAATAATTCAAAGCCCATCCCACAAATAAAATGCTGCGATCCATTTTATGATAATTACTCAACAGCTTTCAACTAATGGGATCTGTCAGAATGATGAGTAGTTGGAGTTGCATTTTCCATTGCAGCTGAAATGAGAGGCATCTTTAACTTGTAGATGTCAAACCTCCTTAATAATAGTTCCCACAGCAGGAGTCTCCCCAAAACACACACACACAATAAAACAAAACCAGAAACCTTAGACAAAGTCGGGGAAGTCTGTCCCTTGCTTTCTAGGCTGTAGCCTTACGATTTCTCTCCCCTTTCCCCTTTTGCCTTGGTGTTTACTGCCTCCCTCCAGCTTCAAGCCTCAGTATTTCTCTTCTCTCCCTACACACTGTACCTCTTTAGCTAAGGTTTGATTAGCCAGGCCCCCATAGTGGCCTTTTATAAGCAGACACATCCTCCCTGGGAGCCCTTTTGAGGTGGTGCTCACAGGGGGCTTCTCAAATGTGCTATGGGTCCAACAAGGGTGAAACCCCCTGGCTTATCCAATAATTACACCCAGCAATTTGCTGCTGCTTCCCATCCACACAGGCTCTAAGTTTTCTGCTGGCTCATTTGGCTTCCTCACACACCAGCAGGAACCAAGAACCAGGTAAGTGTGTCACCCACAATAGCACTGAACTTGAGAATGTGTGTGCATTACAGTATTTGGAGACAGAAAACCTGTAAGAGTTCTGATGATCTGAGCAAACCCACACACTCCCTGTTCAGTAATTATGCATCCTTGTGTTGCATGTTTGCAACACTACCAAACAACTTGGGAGTTCACTAACCACCCGGCTATGTCACCCTTTTACTATAAAGACTCCAATTAGAAAAACTGCCACCCTGCTTTCTTGGCCTTTCAGCTGCAAGAGCCAGAACAGATGCTACATTGCTGGGGACTTCAAAGACTTGTTTTCCTGGAAGACCCAGTAGACTATCAAAAGATCTGGAATAGAGAAACATATAAATTGTAAGAAAAAATTGGGCAAGATTCTTATTACGAAAAGAATTAGTCCACAGACAACCTAATAGCTCCTGTCACCTGCTTATTAGTAATATTGCAGGATTAAAACGTAGGACTTGGCAACGTATTAGAAAAAGAAGAGAATTTTTTCAAGTTGAGATCACCAACAACATATTAGTCAGCTGTTTACTTTTAAGACAGTGGTGCAAAATGCTACCCCAAACCTGCTCTTCAACACTTTTCTGCAAGGAGCAAATCCAAACTGCCATTACATCAACTCTCCTGCTTTGGAGCAACACAGCTGGTGGACCATAGTATGAACAGAAGGCTGGAATAGATGGACCTTTCATCTCATGCAGCAGAGGCCCAGTCCCACACTCTAACCTCTATGCTGCAGCAGCGAGGCAAATACTGATGAATAGCTGTACATATAAATCTAGCCCAAGCTCTGTTCCTGCAGGGAACCCAAGGCAGTATGTAATCTTCCTCTCCCTTCCATCCTCACAAGAACTTATGAAATAGGTAAGGCTACAAATGCATGTTTGGCCAAAATCATCAAGTGAGCTCTATGGCCGGGCGAGGACTAGAACCCATCCCTCTGGCCACTGTGACACACCTGACTCTTTATTTGCAAATGCCAGTTCTATAGCTTTTATAGGTTATTGCATCTTGTAAAATAGTCCCACATAGCTCCCTCTGGTTCGCTCCCAAAATGACAGAGAGAGATGATAGTCTCTTTCAGGGAACAGGATCAAATTCCCAGGAAGGATGAATAAAGAAACGTGTCTGGAAAAGAACTATAAAGTGTAGAGGGCAATGCAAATAGTCTGTCATATCAGATGTCATGACATAGGAAACATGGGAATGCTCCTGTTTATATATAGTACGATTTATCAGCAGCATGCCTTGAATGCCCACCGTGTTTAGCCACCTCAGGCCTTCTAGTGTGCTGTGCACGCAGGAGATACTTGTACACACCCTTGCACACTGGCCACGACAATAAAACCCACACATGTATGCTAGGATCAACAAGCAGCAAAGCTGCTGAATAGTTTTCACAAGCACCACTACCGGAAAGTTTGCAGAGCTGAGCACAAACATTAAAATTTCTTAGACCCACTTGGGATGAGAAAATTTGTGGCAGCACAGGTATATACTCTGATCCTGTGCAAAATAGTCACACAGCAAAACTTTATACCTATATGAACCACTTCATCTTCCCCCATTCCAGGACTCCTTTGGCCAAATCTCTTAATTTCCTTCCCCTATTTAGGATCATGGTTCCCAGGCTTCCTACACTGATATCTCCCCCTTATACCAGGAGTGGGAAACGTATGGGCTGCCATCTGGTTTGCCCTACAAATCTGTCCTACCAGCATACCATGACCAATGGTAAAAGATGGTGGACATTATAGGCCAAAACATCTGGAAGACCACAAGCTGCTCTTATACTACGCACATCCCTTCCTCTCAGGCTTCTTTAGCTCCAGCTAAAGAACAGTCATCTGGGCAGTCATCTGAGTGGTGTAAATTGGTGTCCTGCAGCATCAGGGGGTCAGACCTGATGGCCTTCATGGCCCCTTCCAACTCCACTCCCCTATGATTCTACGACAACGTCTTAAGATAGCAAGAGTGGCATGTGGGGTGGTTCTTAAGGCACAACTTATTATCACATCTTTTGAAGCAATAAATAATGCTTAGCAGAAATACATAATACTTAGCTTATTAATCACATAAATGGCAAGAAGGGGCAGTCTGCAGATTCCTTACAGGCTAGGTAGGCTAAGGCAAGCACAAAAGGAAGCTTTAAATCATGTACATCTGATTTTGCGAGAGCAAATGAGTGTCAAGCTATAAATGGCAAATGATACTCATACAATATACTCTACACAGCAAGTTTTTTTCCACAACAGAGCGATTCATTAATAATGAAGTCTGTGAGTCTAAAACACTGGCAAACTTCCCAAAGAACTGAATGAAAAGCAGGAAAAGATAGTTATTGTTTATTTGGAGAATATTTTAATGTCGATTAAATGCAGGCAACAGAATGGACACGCTTGCCATTTGGTGTGCATTTAGCAATCAGCCAGTGTGCATTTAATAGTCTAGATTTCAGTATTAGTGCAAAAACTTCTCATCCTTGAGGACTCCATTCATAATTGGTGGGGTTCACAATCACACCAAACCCCCTTGGCAATAAGCTGGATTACTGGTTGTCAAAAGAACAAACCACAATGAGCCCAACACAGAGTCAGGTTCCCTGTGGACTGGCACTCTCACCCTTTCCCCTTGGTCCTCCAGGAAGAATCCCAGGGGACACCACAGCCCCAGCTATTCGTCTCACCATGACTGGAAGACATTTTATCTCACTGCAGCTCCACCCTTTTTACCTGCCCTTCAAAAGAACTATCTTTGTTTTGCTATCTTTGTTTTGCCAGCCACTGAAAGTCCTGTAGAAGTGCCATAGTAGAAAGATGGACAACTTCCCAGTGGTTCACCACCCCCTTAAAAAAGGAGGCCCAAATGCGTGCAGATACTTTTGTAGATTCCTTTATTCTTTTTTTAAAGCTGGAATTGCACAACTACACACTATGAATATTTCTATGGCTCCGAAAATGGGAAGTCTCATTTGAGTAATGTTCAGGAGCACACCTGCTATCATAATGCCGCAAACCATAGTCGGTGAACTTGAGAGGCTGTCTCAGCTGTCAAAAAACAAGCTGTGAACTCTAAGCAAAGATGCAAGTAAACTTTGTTTGGCAAAAAAGCATGTGGAGAAATTTATTCTCCTTGGCGCTAGGATCCTTAGGACTTTTTGTGTTTCCCAGTTCTCCCAACTTTTCAACCTGTTCTTGAGACTCTGGTTGCTTGGGAAGATGGAAAAGTGCAGCTCACATCTTTCTACTAAAGTATAGAAGTTTGCCAGCTGTCAATACGCTAAATCTTTTTCTTTTCCCCACAGCACTTCCTATTTTTTCCATAGGGACATAAAAGCAATTGTCATATTTATAGGATCATGAATGGGGCAAAGCTCAAGGAACCAAGGTTCCATTTAGATGCCAGGAAGCACTTCCTGACAGTTAGGACCCCGAGGGTGTGGAATGGGCTTCCACAGGAGGTCGTTGAGGACCCATTGGTGAGGATGTTCAAAGATAGGCTGGACATGCACATGGTGGGCATGTCGTAAGCAGAGCCAGCTGGAGCCAGGGGGTCAGACTAGATGGCCCGGGAGACCCCTTCTGACTTGTTCTGTTTCTATGTTCTATGTTTCTATGAATTCATAAATAAATAAACGGATGAAACTATTTGCACAAAATTGGAGTACAAAAATGTTATACATTCATAACAATACTTACAATACACTTAAGGCAAAATGAATGCTCAGTTCTTCCTAACTTGCATGTACTAGCTGTTTACATCTACATCATCCGGCACTTCTAAACAATACAAACTGCAGTGCAAAGACAGTCCTCGTCTCATAGGAATTATGTCAGAAGATAACCAATCACACAACAATTAACATCAGATCCAAAATTTAATGAAGGCAAAGCCTGAACATCACACAAGAGTATACAAGGTAACAGAACTACTCTGGATGGTGAGTGAAACTAATCAATACATTTCATTCTTTAAAATAGCAAATAAGATGTGGTTTGAAAGCTGTAGTGCTGCATTCAGAAGACACAGCCTACTGTTTCCAAAATCTTCTCTTTATGCTAGTCTCTTATCTTTCCAACAAACTGGATTTGCTGCATGGCATCATTTCTGGAAAAAGAGCACCATTAGAATGCCTCAGTTAACAATTTACCATTAGTCTAACTCATCATTAAATTAAATTATATTCAAAAAGTCTTAGTGCAGTGAGTCAGCCAAGAGCATGTTGATTAGATTCCTAAACAGATGGGCTAGTTATTACACATGCGCACGCACACACACGCGCACACACAGAGTGTGCTTTAGGTTCAAGGATATTGTTTGCATATGGAAAATCAAAGCCATCGCGTAGTAGGCTCACAGAGATAGATAGACTCCAATTTGCACAGTAGCAGCTTTTTAACTAAGGATACTTAAATGAGCGCATGCTTAAAAGTTTCAAAGAAACAGATTTGAAGATTAAGTTGAACAAAACCTTCATAGAAACCTCTCCAAATCTGCAGGCTCACACATTTTACATTCAGATCTCAATTTGCTGTCATTATCAAAACAAACAAAACCCCAATTTCAGTCACTTTTTAGCTTCAAAATCCAGGCCCAAATTAAAGCCTCTGCATTCAATACAAGCCGAACACTCTCTGGAGTGTTGTACAAAGGCATAATTACTGTGGATGAATCATCCTCTATTTGAATATGCAAGAAAGATCTATGCTTCAGCATTAAAATGAGAATCCCAAGTGTAGACAAGAACCAGTTACCACCAAAGTCAACAGCTAAGGGATTCAGGTATGCAGCAATTTAATCTCAATTTCAGATCTCGCCAAGCAAAATTCCTTAGTTGTCATTAGGCTTTTCAGCATGAAGGCAGATGTAACACAACTCTGATCTCTGCAATATGCCCTCACCATAATGCAGAAGCTCTTCCCCATGTTTCTCATCAATGGACTTCAAACCAGAATCACTGTCACAACTTTACTGTCCACAATGAAGAAATGGATATTGTGAAAGGTTTTGCATTCCTTGATTCAGTCATCAATTCAAATGGTGACTGCTGCCAAGAAATCCAAAGACAACTGAGTCGTGGAAGGGCAGCAATGAAGTAACTAGGAAAGATAATCAAGTACAAGGACTTTCATTGGAGACCAACGCCAAGATCATCCATACTATTGTATTCCCAATCACCATGTGCGGGTGTGAAAGCAGTTAAGAAAGCTGACAGGAAAATATTGATGCATTTGAAAGTTGGTGCTGGAGGTGAGCTTTGTGGATACCTGGGCTGACAGAGAGATGAACAAATGGGCCCTAGAGCAAATTAAACCTGAGCTTTTCCTAGAAGCAAAAATGACAAACCTGACAAACTTGGATGCATCATGAGAAGGCACAATTCCCTGGAGAAGGCAATCGTACTAGGGAAAGTAGAAGGCAGAAGAAGAAAAGGAAGACCAAACAAGAGATGGATTGGCTCCATAAAGGAAGCCCCAGCCCTGGATTTTAAAAAGCTGAGCAAGGCTGGCATAGATAGGACATTCTGGAGGGCTTTCATTCACAGAGTTACTGTAAGTCACAGATGACTTGATGGCACAGAACAATGCCAACACTCATGGTTCCAGCCCCATGTCCATAGGAATATATTATCACTATCAAATGTACTCACATTCTAACTAACACACAAGCAAGCTTCACATTGGAATTCAATGGAAGGTATGTCATCATCTTAACATTTAGATATTCCAAGAGTAGAATGGATCCTTTGCCTAGATTCTCTAACTTATGCAACCCATGTACAACACATATACAGCACTCAAAATGCACTTTACACTGAAGACAAAGCTTGAAGTGATTATCTCAGAATGCACGCGGGGGGGGGGGGCTTAATTTGGTGTGTGTGTAGGGGGGAGGGGCTACTTTTTGACTCTTAGGATTTCAGTCTAGCACAGGGGAACCATGCCTGAAAATTTGCACTGCCTATAAATGTTCATTGCTACTTTTATATGGCCCTGGTCCTGAGCTTGGAGGTTGCTCAAGAAACGCACCTTGTACTGTCAAAGCCTTTGACATGCTGAACAGGTGGCATTTTCATTGCCTGCTAGGCATGATCAGAGCATGCAAAGCAATCTCCATTAGCATGTCAACAACTTCCCAAGGTAGCTGCTTTGTGTACTTAGAACACACAGCCAGGGATGGTAAGCAGACCACCAGTCAGCCCTACCAGAAGCAGCTGCAGCTTCTTCCCAAGGCACTGGAATCTGCTACAGAGCAGGGAGTCCTGGGTCCTCCCCCAAATATATACTCTCCCTTCCAGCATTCAGGAATCTTTGGTCGATTAGGGCAAAATTTGAACATCCCAAATAATGCATAAATTGAGCCATATGCTTGGGGAACCCTGTTTGTGGCACTCTTTTCACAAAGAGTGTCCGTAACTACAGTAAAGTCAGAATAGCAAACAACCTGGAAGACAAAAGATCCAGGGTGGCCTAGAAAAGCTAGAGCACTGGTCAGAAAGCAACAGAATGAAAATTCAACAGGGACGAATTCTGAGTTCTCCACCTAGGGAAAAAAACCCTACATGATGGGGAATACTTGGTTTAACAGCAATGGAAAAGAAAAAGACCTTGGAGTTGTTGTAGACAACAAGCTAGATATGAGCCAGCAATGCAATGTGGCCACAAAAATGGTAAATGCTGTTTTGTGATGCATTAGTAGAAGTAACACTTCCACAGCAGGAGAGGTATTGCTCCCCTTTACTCTGCACTAGTCAAACCTCACCTGGAATACTGTGTTTACTTCTGGACACCCAGGTTTTAAAAAGATGCAGAAAAACAAGAATGGATTTACAGAGAGCAACAAATATGATCCAAGGTCTGGAAAATAAAACCCATGATGAGAGACTGAGAGAGCTGGGCATGTTCAGCCTTGAGAAGGGCAGACTATGAGGAGATATGACAGCACTCTACAAATACCTCAAGGGCTGTCACCAAGAGGAAGGAAAAGACCACTTCTCACATATTCCTGAGTGCAGGACACAGAGCAACAAAGTTAAACTATAGCACACCAGATTCAGGCTAGATACCAGGGAAAGTTTTGTAACTGTCAGAGTAGTATGACAGTGGAACCAGTTGCTAAGAGAGGTCATGAGCTCTCACACACATTCAAGACAGAATTGTTCAGTCATCTGAGTAGGATGGTGTGATCTGGCATCCTGCGACAGTAAGGGGTTGGACCTGATGGCCTTCTTGGTCCTTTCAACCCTATTTTTCTGTGAATCTATTAATCTATAAAGTCATTTTGGCACGAAGCAAATCCCTTTTGATTTTGATAGGCTTTAAAAATCACATTGTTTTTATTTTGCCTGTTGAACACTGTCTGATTATTTATGTTCTATTGTATCTTATGAGCTATTGCACATGATCTCTCTTGCATTTTAAACAAAGGGGCTTATCGAAACATTTAAAATAAGTATGGAAATTTGAAGTAAATACAGCAAAATCGCATACATTCAAGCACAGAGATGGAAGAAATACTCATCTGGCAAATAGTAAATTCACACCAGACCTGAAATTAACAAGCATGTAATTTATAAAAGGATTTTCCCTTACATAAATACATTTGGACTAATCAACTTTGGTTTTAATTTCCATATAGCATACACTTTGCAGTCTAAGGCAAAATTCTCTTGGGAAGTCCCACCGAATTAGAGTCAGTGCAGTGTAGGGCCACATGGATGGTGACTGGATTGCAGGGAAAGCCATATGAGGAGAGACTGAGGGATTGGAGAAGAGGAGACTCTGAGGGGATCTGTTGGCAACATATTGGTGTGTGAGGGAGTGTCACACGGAGGTGGGTAGAGACCTGTTCTCCCCTGCAGAGGAGGGCAGGGCGCACTCCAACAGAGCCAAGCTCAAGGAACCAAGGTTCGATTTGGATGCCAGGAAGCACTTCCTGACAGTCAGGACCCCGAGGGTGTGGAACGGGCTTCCACGGGAGGTGGATGAAGACCCATTGGTGAGGGTGTTCAAGGATAGGCTGGACATGCACATGGTAGGCATGTCATGAGTAGAGCCGGGGGTCAGACTAGATGGCCCAGGAGACCCCTTCTGACTCGCCCTGTTTCTATGGCTTTTCCTATGCTTTTTTCCTATGAATTAATAGGGCCCACTGCCGAACCGAAATGCACCAGTTTGCACTGTGCATGTCAGGTTTCTCAGTCAAAGGGCAGGATAGCATTGGCTGGGGAAAAATACAGTCACCTGCTGCTGGTGATGCAGCAGCCAATAGCACTCCTTCACAGTCACCTTGCAAAAAACCCTCTAAAGATCTGGTAGTCTGGGGGTAGGCCTGCAGGTGCAACCATAAAATAGGGTGCTTGGTAACCCGCCCAGAGGCATCCATGGGGAAGTGAGAGGACGACAGCTCAGGGCTCCTACCTCATTTTCAAGCAATCTCAGCTGCCTGTAAGAAAACATTAACAAAATGGGGGATGTCTCTGGGGGCACCCTAGTGCCTGTGCATACTACCTTAACTACCTCTCTTCCAGCTGATGAACGAAACATATTCTTAGCAACAACTGATTGCTGTTTAAATGTCAAGAATACAATTATCCCCTTAAATGGAAGTGCTTCCTTAAGGGAAATTACTGGGGTTTTGTGCAGCCAACCCCAGAATGCAAACATTTTTGTGCTGGAGACTCATAGCACGGAATTGGTCAGGTTGCCTACTGTACGTGCGGGCATATTAAGGATTTCTTTTCATCCCACTTCAATTCACACAGTCTTGGGGACTACAAAGGAACACAAGAGAAAATCTGATCCATAAGAATACAAAAGCACTGGTACTCTCATCTAACAAACAGGAATAATGTTCTGTTTTAGCCTACAGAAGAAAAAAGGAAGAGACAGACCTGTGTTCTTTCCACTAGTATAAAAGCAAATTGTATTAACCAGCTAGCTAGTAATTAGGTAGCACACATAAGCACTTCATGACTTCATTTTAATTATGTACGAACACACACACACACTTCCTTCATGGGTCATTAATTCACAAATCCCATCACCACAGCCCCAGAACTACAGAGCATTACCAACAGCTGAAAATACACCGCTCACTTCACCTTAATGGATATAGCTTCATTGACTTCGGTAGGTCTGCTGGGATAAAAGCAACATTGAACACCAGTCCCAGGGGCTACATCTAGTAACTGGGAGAAGTTGGTCTCGATTCCACATCTCACACTGCCCTGCCTCTTCCATTTTCAGAACAGTACTATGATGAAAAACATTCTTCCCTGTAAATACATCTGCTCCATTGCAGAACGCTGGATTTAGTCTCCCCCACTTTGCATACCATCAAGATAACAAAAAAATCAAGTGCTGTAATTTTTCCAGCAGACTTTACCTCATAGGAAGAAGAAGTAATCTTTCAGCATGTGGGATTTGCCTCTCCTGACCACTGTATCAGGGTAATGTACAAGCTTAGTCTCTCTGGATACATTATAACAAATTTATAATCCACAATATCAATTAGCAGTATACTTAGGAGCTTCTTTGCAAAACAGCAGATGGATGCTTCCATCTCGGATTCCTCGGATTCAGCTACTACGTAGGCTTATTATATGAGGGAGAAAAGTTACTACAACAGGGAATCAGCAACCCCCTCACTTTCTGCTTCATTCCAAAGGTGAGTTGGCTCCTGAGCTCCTTGACATGCATTTGATGACATTTCTTTTTCATCTGATTTGGTTACAGTTGAATGGAATTTAAGCATGTCCAGGAATGGAAAGCACATCATATCCGTAAGCAATATAACATTAGGCTAATAACTTGGGGCGGG